AAAGAAGTGAGGACTCTTGGGAAAAATCCTTCATTAAATTAAATCACATTGATTTGTCCACTTCCTGGACTTATGACCATTACACCACACCCGTCACTAGGAGTGTTGCTTCCAAAGTTGACATAGTCAAGAAAGGAGCCATCTACCCATTGATACTGATCACCTATTGGAAAATAATGGGACGTTGCTTGTCGTGCAAATTTCGTAGTTTTAAAGTAGACCTAAACTGAATATTTACCCAAATAATTTCCTGAAGGATAAAAGGCCGGAAATAATAGCGAATCAAAATTTGAATCTGTAGAGAGTTTCGTTTGTTTATAACTGATTAGTTGTTAACACGAACATAATTATTGATTATTAAAAATCTGAACGCAACACGGTAAGAGGAAACTTTTACACCGTCGCCAAGGTTCCCCCGTTGTAATAATCGTTTGCGCCCATGTCACGAACTACACGTTCTGCCCGCCTGCTGAATAAAATCATGTGCAAACATGGCGGCCCGCATGGCGAGCCCCAAACGGTGAGTTCACCCCTTTGTGTCTCATTTCTAGTCAACCTAAACCCAACTTTATTACATGGTGGCAGCGGTGGTTGATTCAGAATAACATAGACGTAATTTTGCAGTCCGTTTTGTTCACCAAAACGTGAACTTCCCGCTACAGCTTTCCACGAACTTGTGTGAGTTTCACGCACGGGAATAAACTCACGCATCACGATGGCGTAGTCCCCGTCGTTGGGGGCGGTATCCGCCGCTCCGGTTATCGGTCGTCTGGACCCATACGATTAGATTGAAGATATTCGGAACTACATCGAACGTCTCAACTTGTATTTTGTTGCCAATGACATCTCTGCGGCAAAACAACCGGCAGTTCTTTTGAGTGCAGTTGGTTCTACTGTCTACAAGACTGTCCAAAGCCTAGCTGAACCAACTCCAGTATCACAGAAGGGCTACAAGGACCTTTGCAAGATGCTAGTATCGCACTATGGCCCAAAGCGTCTAGTTGTAGCGGAACGATTCAGATTTTACAAACGTGNATCAACACATCGATGAGTCCATCGCTCAGTACGCAGTTGCACTACAGAACTTGGCCAGCCCCTGCCAATTTGGGACATTTCTGGATGACGCCTTGCGTGATCGCCTGATTTGTGGCCTCCGCAGTGAATATGTTCAGAAACATCTTCTGACCAAGGACGGCCTCACTTTCCAAAAAGCCTTGGAAATTGCTAAAACTCTTGAGACTGCCACCAAAGATCTCCGTGAAATTAAAGGAACTCACAACACCGCAGCTGTTCAGGCAGTACAACATCGACCACGACAGAAAGTGTCTAGCACTCACACACCAAAACCCAAGCCCCGCACCGGACAGGTCAGGTGTCCCAATTGCGGATATGACCCAAGTCATGCGTCATGCCCAGCTAGAGGCCAGCAATGCAAGTCCTGTCACAAAACCGGACATTTCAGTAAAGTTTGCCGTTCCAAACGCAAACACATGCGAGCTGTGAGTGCACCCAATGACACCGAAGATGACACTGAGTTTTTTGTCGGTGCAGTCTCCGGCGACAATGGCCAATCACCAACTTCATGGCGCCAGACCATCGCAGTCGAGGATAAACCTGTCAACTTCCTGCTTGACACCGGATCCGAGGTAAACATACTACCGTTCAATGTTTACTGCACTTTGAAGCTCCGCAACCCGACCTTGCAGTTCACACCCACAACCCGTCTGTGTGGTTTCTTCGGCGGGAAAGTCAAACCGAGGGGGCAGAAGCGTCTGTGTGTCCATTAACCAGGTGCAACATGTGTACACCTTGATAAATGACAATAGTGTGTTTGAAGGAACTGGCTGCCTTCAAGGACCCCCAGTCCAGATAAAGCTGACCGACAATGCCACACCACACCGTGTCCATGCCCCTCGCCGCATCCCGCTGCCCTTGCATCCAAAGCTGAAGACAGAGCTGGACAAAATGGAGAAACATGGCACCATCTCGCGCATCACGGAGCCTGCTGACTGGTGCGCCCCAATTGTGATTGCTCCCGAGAAAAATGGGAACATCAGGGTTTGCGTGGACCTGCGAATGCTGAATAAAGCCGTGGCCAGAGAGCAGTTCACCATACCTACCCTGGAGGAAGTACTTGGTAAAATTGCAGGTGCCAAGGTGTTCTCCATACTCGATGCCAAGCATGGGTTTTGGCAAATCCCACTCCATCCTGACAGCCAGAAACTAACCACCTTCATCACGCCATTTGGCAGGTTCTGCTTCAGTCGCTTGCCATTTGGCATAACGTCAGCACCGGAATTGTACCAGAGGATCATGAGCGATCTGCTGGTTAATCTCCCAGGAGTCGTCATATACATGGATGATGTCCTCGTAACAGGTGCAACGCCACAGGAACATGATACTCGTCTCCATCATGTTCTCCAGGTTCTTCAAGGAGCTGGGTTGAGGCTGAACAAGGACAAGTGCAAAATTGCACAAGAGCAGATGAATTTCCTTGGCCATCGACTTGGTAAGGAAGGCATTCACCCTGACCCTGCCAAAGTAGACGCGATTCTGCAAATGTCGCCGCCTACAACGAAGGAGGAAGTCAAACGTCTGATGGGGATGGCCAACTGGCTTTCTCGCTTCATACCACATGCAGCTTCTACTGCAGCACCGATCAATGACATGATGAAGGATGACACAGAATGGACTTGGGGCCCAGCACAACGCACCGCGTTTCGACAGCTCAAACCTCTGCTAACAACAGCCCCAACACTTGCATACTACGACCCCAGAAAGCCAACCATGGTCAGTGCTGATGCCAGCAGTTATGGTGTCGGTGGTTGCATCCTGCAGAAGCAAACCGATGAGTCTTGGAAGCGTGTCGCATATTGCTCCCGAAGCCTGACACGTGCCGAACAACGCTATGCACAAATCGAAAAGGAGCTACTGGCTGCTGTCTGGTCGTGCGAGCGTTTCTACATCTATCTCCCAGATCTCCCAGTGACGGTCCAGACAGACCACAAACCCCTTGTATCGCTCATCAACCAAAAGGACTTGTGCGATGCTCCCCTGCGTTGCCAACGACTACTAATGAGACTGATGAAGTACAACTGCTATGCAGAGTATACCCCCGGCAAGAACCTAGTCGTGGCTGATACACTCTCGCGTGCCCCTCTCCGTCATGACAACACTACCGACTCCAGTGCAGATGTGGAAGAAGAGGTTGAAGCCCATGTCCACCTGATCACATCACAGTGGCCAGTATCTGATGCAAAGCTAGTTGAAATTGCAGCAGCCACCAGCCATGACCGTACTCTGAGTGCCGTCATTTCTTTCGTCAAAGATGGATGGCCAAAGTACCAGAAAGATGTCGAGCCAAAATTGAGGCGATTCTGGGAAGACCAGGACAAGATCAGTCTAGTTGGGGGTATCCTCACATATGGTGACTGCATTGTGATACCACAGAGCCTGAGACGACAAATGTTGCCGAGAATTCATGAGGGTCATCAGGGCATCTCAAAAAGCCGACTCCGAGCCAATCAAGCCCTGTGGTGGCCGGGTATAAGCACCGACATAGCCCAATATGTCCAATCATGTCCACACTGCCAGGATATACAGCCATCACAACGAGCCGAGCCCTTCATGCCTACACAATTGCCACAGAGACCATGGCAGCAAATTGCCTGCAACCTAGCAGAGGTGAAGGGGAAGATGTACCTCGTGGTAGTAGACTACTTTTCCCGTTGGATAGAGTTGCATCACCTCCACACAACAACTGCCAAATCCGTGATCAACTTCTTGAAGGCAACATTCGCGAGATACGGCATCCCTGACGTGGTGGTGACTGACAACGGTCCTCAGTTTCTCGGTGAATTCGACCAATTCGCTCGTGAGTACAACTTCCAACATCTCACCTCAAGTCTCCACAACCCACAAGCCAATGGACAAGCAGAGAAGGCTGTACACATTGTTAAGAGACTGTTGAGTTAAGATGATCCAGTCCGTGCTCTTATGATGTACCGGTCCACTCCACTGCCTAGCGTTGGCCAGAGCCCAGCAAGTCTCCTGATAGGAAGAGAGTTGCGCACCAATCTTCCAACCCTGCCTTGCAATCTTCAACCCAAACAGATCAACTACGACAAGCTAAGATCTGCAGACGCTGTCAACAAGTCGAAGAGCGCATGTAACTTCAACAGACGACATGTTGCGAGAGACCCGGATCCATTAACACCTGGAGACAGAGTGAAGATACGAACCAAAGGACAGTTGAGCCCAGAAGGTGAAGTTGTACGCCACGCTGGAACACCTCGGTCCTACATCATCAGCATTAATGGCACCAAGTACCGTCGAAACCGACGTCACATCATCCTGCTGCCCAAACCATCACCAGATCCAGTCCGTGGCATCGCCACATCATCCACGGATCCTCAACCCCCAGAAGCTCGACCCACTCGAGTCACGAGAGCACCAGTTTGGCACAAAGACTACATCATGTCTGGACACTAGACTTGTCATACATTCTAACAAGATAATGTTTTTTATATTTCCCAACCATTCAGAATCAGTCATCACTCAGTCAAGAACACTCAAACTCACAATTCCAGCTAACTTTTTATTGGACTCTGAACGGTATCAACATGTCAATTCCGAAAGATATTCAGACCTCATGTGAACTCTCAGCTAAACAAACACAACTCAATCCAGTACAGAAACTCTCGGAATAATCTGATTCGAAGAGCTGAACCTGTAATTTTTAGTCCAAGCTGTTGCATTCACTTAATTGTTTGTTAAGCTGTTTCCTTTCAGAAAAAAAGGGGAGATGTAATAAACATTTGCGCCCATGTCACGAACTACACGTTCTGCCCGCCTGCTAAATAAAATCATGTGCAAACATGGCGGCCCGCATGGCGAACCCCAAACGGTGAGTTCACCCCTTTGTGTCTCATTTCTAGTCAACCTAAACCCAACTTTATTACACCCCCCCACCATAACCAAGTTTGAATAACGATTTTCAAAATAGTTCCCTGACCCCACTTTGTGAAGAAAGTTAAACTGTTTTCTACAAAATATTCCAAGAGTACAGTTAATCACATTATCATATAAAATACTGAAAAATGCTTAAAAACTAAACACCTTTAAAAATTAAGAAACTAATTATCAAAAACCTCAGCCCCAGCATATGTGAAAACTTCCACTGAAATTGGAAGAGTGAGGACTCTTGGGATTAATACTTCATTAAATTCTCCTTTAACTTTCATATTTGACGACCAAAAACTTACGGTCACTAGGGCTGAGTCCAATCCACACCTCCAGGTCAGGGTCAGTATAGAAAAGTCCGGCCAAATTGTTGTCCTCATTCAGAGTATGTACACTTGGCAGTGAACTTGAACTGTCATAAGCTTTACATATCTCCTGTGCCTCTTCCCACGAAGTTGCAAAGGTTGAATTGATGCCTACTGCGCAGTCCTGGTCGTCGATTTCCACCATTCCAGCTGGACACACC